GTTTGAAGTAAACAAGTACACAATATTATTTTCATTCACTGCATTTAATTATTTTGTACAGGGTCTACCATATTTATGGCAACACATGTTTTTTGTAATTTCTCAATGAAACAAACAGGTGCATTGTTTTTTTTTTTTTTTTGATAACCTAGTAGCCAAGAATTACCTAAACAATTCTCAGACATTTTTATTCAATATGACCACCCTTATTTTTAACGATGGCCTCCAATCTACGTGGGAAAGCTTCACAGGAGACGCGCAGCATTTCTTGAGGGATCAAGTCCCATTCTCATGTCAATTTAGACTTCAAACTATCCCAAAGAATCATGAGGTATTCTGCAGACCCTACTCTCTAAAATAGCCCATACAGAAAAGTCGAGAGGATTCAAATCAGGGCTTCTTGAATCTTGAGGGCCATTCATTTTTGCTAATGAACGCTGGGATGTGACCCTGAATCCAGTTTTGAGCCATGTGATGGGGCAGAGTCTTGTTGAAAACTCCATGGTAAGCCGTTGAAGTGTTTATGGGCCCAAGGTAACAACACAGCTTCCAAAATGTCCGAAATGTATCGCTGATGGTTCAATTTCACTCCTGAGGGGACAAAAACGAGTGGGGACCTCCCAGTGGCAGTTACCGTGGCCCAAACCATCACGGACATGAGATTTTGACATCGTGTTGCTGTTCTGGTTGCCACAGATCCATCCCAACTCTAAATTCTGTCATTTTGACAGTTAACGCTTTGTTCAGTCTCAATTTTTTTCTCGTCACTGAACACCAAGTTGAGCAGCTTGCCATCCTCAATGAGATCCAGAATGTGCTGGCATCTTTTGAGTCTCATTTGTTTATGATGGTCTGTTAGTTCATGCCTTGTTTGCATCTTGTAAGGGGTGGTTTTGAGGACTCTACGCATTGCTGTCTGACTGACTCCTGCTTCTGCAGCCAATTTTGCCGCTACGCAACGAGGGTTTCTCCTCAACTTTTCCCTTGTGTTTTTGACCAATTGTTTTGTTCGGACACATCGTTTCCTACCTTGACCAGGTCGATTGCATGTTTTACCAGTTTCCTTGAATTATTTACCACCTTCCACACAGTTTCAAAATAAATTTGGTGCTTTTGGAGCAATGACTGAATTACTCTCGCCCTTTTCATGAAGGGTTACAATTGCATTTCTATCTACTGCCATAAGTAATAGTAAATTTAGACACCTTAGACTTCTGCAGAATAAAATAGATGAATTAATAGATGATATTAAGCTTCATTATAAAATAAAAGTCTCCTAGAAACCGATTTATTTTTATATAGCAAACATCCGTTGCCGTAAATATGGCGGACCCTGTATATAGTTTTATAATTGTAGTAATTGTTTTCTTTCTAGTCATAAATTCACACATTTAAAGACTGAACTTGAATATTTCAATTGGAATGCTCATATTAGAGTGGAAAATCTTTCTAAATGCCTAAAAGGTCAATACAATCTCAAACAGGCGGGGTAAATTGGGATGCGAGTCCCACATTTTGTTGAAATGTTGTAACAGCTAAACTTATCAAAATATTGCAAAACTAAAAATAGTGGCGTAAACTTCAACATTTGTACTATCTATTATGTATAAAGCTAGTCAAGAAATCAAACATTGGCTATCTCTAAAAAATTGCTGAAAAATAGTGTGAAACATGCAATTTTGGAAAAGTACTTCTACTAAGGTCTGGAGCAAAAAAAAATATTCACCATATTAAAAAATTTTACTTACATAATAGTTTCACACAGGTGTTGGCTTGAAAATGCAATTGACGGAATTTGCCTATCTCATTTAAAAAAATGGCAGCCATTTTTGCGCAACAGGGTAATAAGGGCCAACTCCCCAGGGTAATTAGGGACAACCCCCGGGGTGATTAGGGACAACCCTAAAACACATTTACAGCAGATCGTCTGTTAGCAAAGGCCACAGTTAAGATAATATATGGGTTAATCACAAAGATTTTTGCTTAAATTTTAAATTTAAGCATAAATTTAAATAAAATCTTCTTCGGGAGCAGAAAAGCCTGGATGTTAGGCAGAACTCCTAACATCCAGGTCACTCAATGCAATGGTCACTCCCTAAAGAAGCTTGTTCAGCTCCTCATCGTTACATTACATCTAAAAGGAAGAGGAGGACTTTGTAGTACTGCTGGTAATAGGTGAGTACACTCTGCATGTTTAAAATACTTTATAATTAAGTTTTAATTCAAATGCCCCGGATTACCCCGCTCCCAGGGGTAATTCGGGACAGTTTTATTTTGCATCTGGCACCTTACGAATAGCATATGGAATTTTTTTGAAGATGCCATTTGATAGCCCTCACAAAGAGCTATAAAATGAGCCTAAACTTGTTTGTGAAATGTTTCATGATAAGAAGTTATTAACAAAAAATTCTCAAAACTGTCCCTTTTTAGCCCGTTTGACGGTAGCTGACGCATGTAAATTGTATAATGTGATTAATATATAATAAATAGTCAAATAGTTAGTTAAAGACTACTTATAGCCTTATAAGAATTAGCTAAGCTGCTAGCTATGTTATATGTACAATGTATTGCAACAATTGATGCTTCTGTACCAAAAACATACAATTCATTGGAACCTAATACACACTAAGACTAAAGGTAGCAGGTTTATATTTCAATTTGTCATAGTACATTTATACTAAACCATGAATAACAGTACCTCAAAATAAATTGAAGACTGCCACTCAATATATTTAAATATAAAAAAAATAAAAATAAAATTAAAAATAAAATGTGTTTAAAAATTACTTTTTAAAGACAACACTTCTGAACAATCCAGTGTCTTGGATGTTACACATGTACAATGAATTTCTAATTTTATTTTCAAATATTGAAAAAAAATTATTTTTCAACATATTTTTAAGATATTAAAATTTTGTAAATTTTCAAAATTATTTATTCTGTCAATTGATTCATGCATTGTCTTTGACTTTATGCAATTGTGCACAATTTCAGATCAATTGGACAGGTAGAAGTGTATTAAATATCGATTATAAGATTTGTAGCAGACAGACAGACAAACAAACAAGAAGTGAAGTTAAAGAGAAGTGTTTGAATTGAAATAAATAATATGTGTTTAAAAATTACTTTTTAAAGACGACAATTCTGAAGAATCCAGTGTCTTGGATGTTACACATGTGCAATGAATTTCTAATTTTATTTTCAAATATTGAAAAAAAAAATTATTTTCAAACTTTTTTTAAGATATCAAAATTTTGTATATTTTCAAAATGATTTATTCTGTCAATTTATTCATGCATTGTCTTTGACTTTAGCATCAGTTTATGCAATTGTGCAAAATTTCAGATCAATTGGACCAGTCAAATTGTGTCATATATGGATTATAAGATTTGTAGCAGATGAAATTATTTTTTAATTTTTTTAATAATGAAAAAAAATTTTTAATTAGATTAGATTTTAATTAGATTTTTTAATATCAAAATTTTTTATATTTTCAAAATTATTTATTCTGTCAATTGATTCATGCATTGTCTCCAACTTTATGCAAGTGTGCCAAATTTCAGATTGATTGGACAGGTAGAAGTGTGTTAAATATCGATTATAAGATTTGTAGCAGACAGACAGACAGACAAACAAACAAGAAGTGAAGTTAAAGAGAAGTGTTCTAAAAATAAAAAAAATCATGATTTTTTTTTATAAAAATTCAAGTGATTTAATCATATGATATAATAAGTTTGATTTAATCATTGCCAACCCTGGCAATGGGAACCCCAAATTAACTCTAAATCTTGCATGCATCCCCTTCACTAATTTATTGCAATCTATTTCTAGCAGGCACTGGGATCAGACTGAGCACTCTTACTGAAGCTGTCAGGCCAGGATCAGAAGTCGGCTGGATTATGCTGCTGCTCTCTATGCCTCAGCGGCCACCACTATCCTTGTCAAACTGAATGTCATCCAAAATAACTGCCTTAGAAAAACTACACCTGTGTCATCAATGGAAGTAGAACAAACCTTTTCCCATTGTCCATTCATAGGAGTGAGATAGTCTGTAAATATTACCTCCAACTTATTCAGCTGCCTAGATGCCTGTTGTGGTAGAATTGTTTCACAACAACCACCAACAGGCTGCTGAATGTGGAACACCCCTGCTAACTTCTTTTGTACCTAATGCCAAATCCATCTTCTCCTCCCTACAGATCACCATTCCAAGATTACTCACATCTCCTCTGATATCTCCAATGCCACCATGGTTTAACACCAATAAACATCTACTAACAGATTTCTCCCTTTCTCCAGTAACATCTACCACCTCACAGGCTGCTCAACAAATTTATCAAGACCTGGTGCACTCCAAATATTCCTCTCACACAGCTTCTTTTGCAGAAGAGACAAATTTCCTCTTTTAATTGATACTATTCACAATTTTAATTCAAGCCTACTACTTTGCAGTAATTGGATTCAAACTTCGATCAATTTTGCCATTCATGTTGGTATGACAATTTTGAAGATATCCTGCAAGGTGGCTTTTGAGCATGGGTAGTAGTTTGAAATCCAGCTGTATCATATGGAGCAGAAAAACAAAGCTTGGTTAGAAGTTCCAAACAATCTTTTTATTTAGAAGGACATGATTGCAGTCTGAATATTTGTATACATTTGTCATGACAGAGCTTGCAGTACACTTCGGAGCCAACTTCTTTGACTGTATTTTTCATCAGTAATATTTTAAGTAATCTTATTAGAATCAGTATTGAAAATTGGATGGGTGTTTTGTCTTACTTGCCATTGTTGCAAATTATTTGTCAATTTTATTATAACTCAAAAATTGCATTTGTTTAAAGTTGCATGCATGGGGACTAATTACTTCTCAGACAAAGCAGTGCAGATCTGCAGCAATTGAAGTTATAATTTGGAAAAAATTGCAGACATTTTGGTATGAATATTTAGACTACGTACTTGGCATGGAATGATCCACCGCTAATTTTCTTTATTTCTTGCAGGGATCATGGCTTTGAAGTAGAGTAAGCATTGTGGCATATCATAATTACAGTTGAGCTGGGCCTGCACCCTGACGAAACACTATCTTTTTGTAAAATCCAAAATTTCAGAAAAAGTATGTATAGGAACTGATTACAATAATCACAGAGCCCTCACTAGGTGTTGTTGAAGCTGACTTTTAGTTCATAATTAACTGAAAACTTTTAAATCCACTTGGCTGTTCTGCAGCAATGAATTGAGACCCAAGGAATAAAACCAAGGTAATTTGTGTAAAATTATAATGTATATAGCAATCCAGAAGGTAATGCAACTGAATTATTTAGAAATAATGCTCTTCCTACATTTCTAGAGAATTAAACTAGTACCGTATATTTTGGTATGCTTGTGACTCTTGTGTTAAATAAGGAAATATAGCTTGATCATGAAATGTTTACAACATGAATCTTAGCTCTGATGATCATTCTATGGCATTTGGCATGTGATTTATCATGGTTGTGTATGAAAGGATATGAAGATGGTGATATTTACCTATTATTTTATGGATTGAGTTTTCATGAGTTGTGTAGACTGGACCTTCTATTGTAAATATATTATTTTAATAATTTTATATTGATTGCAATTTTTCTGCTGAAACCTAGTAGGTTGATCTCATTACAGGTAGCAAAAATGTACCAGGGTGATGAAATTTTCCAACTGGAACCTAGTATGTTTTTTAATGATAATCTCATAACATATAGCAACAATGGTCAATAGTGGTATAATTTTTCATACTGAAGCCTAGTGTTTTTTTAGATTGTTATTTCTTTACAGGCATTTTTTCTTTTGTCATTTTTATTACTGAAACCAAGCATGATTTCTAATGATGATCTTATTACAGGCAGAAAAAATGGACGTGGGTGATCTGAACCCTGGAGTTACTGCTGGTCCATCCACCCCTGACCATCTCACTGATGCCAACAAATCTGAGAGCAGCAACTTGTGTGAAGCTCTCCTGTCAGAAGGAACGTCTATCAAGTCTTGTGCAGAAAACTCAACTGATGGCACTGAGTTGCCAATTAGTTCTGCAAACTCTAACAGTGAAATAGATGAAAAAGAAACTGCGGCTAACAACGATGCTTGTAAAAGTGGTTCATGTGTTGAAGAAAGCTCTGTGACTGAAGATGCCTTATTGCTTCTTGCATTAAGCTCTGCTCACAATGATGATCAACTATCACCAAATGAAGCTAGTTTATTACTTGCTGAAATGCAGAGCTCCAAATATTCAGATGATAAATCTGGCATAAAATCTGAAGTCCTTGTTGAAAATACACAGTTGAAAGAAAATAATGAACTGAAAAAACCATCTGGTGTAGATCATTCTAAGATACTTGAAATTCTTAGTGGAACAGATTTTAATTCAATCACAACAGCTCTTGATAAAAATGTAGATGAGCTTGTTTCCCAAAAACAAAATATCCTTCCAAGCGATGAAAGTATTCCCAGGATTCGTACTACTGCATTAGTGGAAAACACTACAGAAGTTCCTGATGGTACAAATAAGGAAGAACCACATGACAGAGAGACTACTACCTCTCCTCTGGTTCAAGATGAAATACTTCCAAAACTGACTGCATCATCCTGTCCACTGGAAGCTGAGAGAAACATTGCTATTACTGATGAACTTCCTTTTAAAGGTATAGCTCCTCAGGGTTCAAATGCTGATTCTCCTCACACTGGAATTGAGTTTTCCTCTTTGCCTCTTGACAAGGTTGAATCTGGTGTAGATCTCAGTCCAAATAAAAAGACTCTTTCTCTTTGTGAAGCTTCAAAAACTTCATCCTGCACTCCAGTTATTGAGGAAAATCCAGAAACGCACCTGCCTGAGGAAGCTGAGACACCTACTTATGAGGAAAAAAATATTTCTCTTGTAATTCCTCCTCCTGATATGAAAACGACTTTTGTGCCATATCCTGAAGCACAAATAACTTCTGTTTCTTCAAATTTCAATGAAATTCCATTACCAAGCAAATCCCACAAAGATGTTCAAGAGGGAAGTCAGATTTTACAATCTTCATGTGATGATGAAATTCTGTTGCCTGCAACTGAAACTCATTCTTGTGTTCCTTACGGTGACCAGATCCCTGCCCAGCCCAACTCAACGCTTGCGCCTCAACCTCTTCCTGGTACCATAGATGATGCTTCTCAATACAAAGAAGCCTTAACTCCCCCTCCTGCTGAAGCCCACACTCCCCCTCCTCCTGTTGAAGCCCACACTCCCCCTCCTCCTACGCCCCACTGAAGCCCACACTCCCCCTTCACGCCCCACTGAAGCCCACACTCCCCCTTCTCGCCCCACTGAAGCCCACACTCCCCCTCCACGCCCCACTGAAGTCCCCTGCGAGGCTCGATCTGATAAAGCTTTTAATATTATTCGCTGTGCCACCAAGACTCCACCGCCTCCTGGGGAAAATGAATTCCCTAACATGGAGCGCGACTCTACAGATAAAATTGAAAAACCTTCCGTCCAGCATGCTATTCCAGAAAGTGAAATTCCGTTTGATTTTAAAGCAACAAAGCAGAAATTATTACCTCCGCCGCCGCTGTGTCAGCGCCTTCCTTTTGTTCCCCAAGGGCCCGTCATCATTAGTGACTCACCATCCTTGCCTTCAACACCTGCAGCCCAACATCAAATTTATCCCAGCGGTCCATGCAGCTCATATAATACAAATATTTCTGATCGCTTCCAAATGGTACCTCCTCCCAATGCCCATTATCCTTTCCAAGGGATGAATTCGCACTTTCCATATGCCCCAGCGGGTATTTCTCCGGTCGTTCAGCCTTTTTCTGCACCCTTCCCTTCCTTGACGCCTCCACCTCAACTCGGACCCATGCCCATTCCCCTCCAAACTACTCAGGTCACTACTACTCAACCGCGTTCCTTGCCATCTACCTCACCCCAACCGAGAACACCACCTCGTCCGTCTTTAACCACTTCGCGCCAGCCCAGAACTCCATCACCCAAACCCATTTCCTCGTCGGCATCGAAAGTTGATAGCTCGTATTCTTCACCCGACGAAAATGTAGAAGAGGATGCCAGCCAAGCTGGGAATGCCATTGACGAGAGTTTTCTGGCAAACTTATCCATCAAAACCAATGCCTCCTTCCTCCTCGGCTTGCTCCCGAACCGTGACGAAAATTCATCCAAAGCTTCAAGTATTCAGAAAAATGACGGAAAAGAAAAAATTAATTCTGAACAGCGTGCATCCAAAACAGTCTCTGCTCGATCAAGTACTAGCCAGTGTGACAGCGCCGACGATCACGCCGCCGTGATCACGAGCGCCATAAAAGAAGTTTTGTCGAGACCTTCTCCTCCATCCTCAGTTCATCTTAATCCAAAACGTGAAGACAAATCAAAGCGTAGTTCTCATTCCGTCACCAATAATCGTTCTTCATCAGAATTAAAATCCGGTGATGACAAAAAATCTTCCTCTGATGCCCGGAAAGAAAAAGCACATTTAAAAGGAAAAGAAAGCAAAATCAAGATGCCTGATTCCAGAAGTAATTCCGGAAGAACGGAGGATTCTAGCAGTGTCAGAAACAAAAGCTCTTCTAACAAAAGCCATCATTCTAGCCATGCAAAAAGTGGTGGCTCCAAATTTAGCAGTTCTATGTCTTTCCAAAATCATCCCGTTTCTAATCGTGCTCTAAACGAGAAAGTTTCATCATCACATGGATTGAAAATCAAATCTAATTGTGACCAAAAATCCCATCGCAAATCGTCTCCATCGACATCCAGTAGTAATAAAAGAGAGCAAGATTCGTCTCATGTTCGTTCTTCTACAAGTTCCAAGTCCAAGAGTGTGAGTAAATCTACGGATGCTAAGAGTTCGGACCACAGTGCACACGCAGACCAACATAAAGTTGGCCAAATTGTACCCACAGAAGCGAACAATGTCGCAAAATCTTGCGATAGAAAGCCTGACGAAAGTTCGAAAAAACGCTCACTAACATCAGTCAGCGCAAGCACGAGCCTCTCCACCAAACCTCGTCATCAATCTAAATCAAGTAATATTACCACACAAGACGATCAGAAGCTCGTCTCCCTAGACAGTAGAACTAATGAAAAACGTCGTGCAACTGAGATCCTTGACAAGAACAATACAACACAAAATTCAAGTCCAAGTCCTGAAGTGGCCAAAGTATCTTCAAAACCTAGGAATGAAATCTCCGCCGTTGCATGTCAAGATCGAGCTATTGTCGATGTTGAGGCAGCTGACTGTACAAGACGTCCTTCCCGGCTATTACCTCAAAACAATGGACAACACAAGATACCAACAAAATCTGTTGATGAAAATCACTTGACGCAGAAGGGTGCTCGAGATGACAGAGGAACGTCGCTTCAAAAAATAAGTACACATTCTGATGTAAAGCAGCCATCTGTTGCCGAAAAGAAAATTGGTTCAAATGTGGCTTCTCCTAATATAAAATTTAAGATCATATCCTCGCCGAAGACCTTTGACGAGAAACAAAAATCCCTCGCTCCCAGGGCAGTTTCTAAAATCACAGTAAATAGGAATGAAAAACTTGGCACGAATGACAATGTGTACGGCAAACCACAATCACCAGCAAATAGCACGGATCTCCAAAACTCAGACGGCAATATTTTGTCTACACTCAATAACAACTTAATTGATTCGGATGTGATTTCTCACGACCCCGAGTCAAGTCTTGTAATTACTTCTGTTATTGGCAAAGCGGATGTTGCCGACGACGGAGCTCTGAATGTGTCTGCCCAATCATCGACTCCTGATTATTCATACGAAGCCAGGATCAAGGGCCTGACTTGCGACTGGTGCAGAGAAGTCTGGAATCACTACATTCTTGATAGTCTCTTCCGATCTTTTTGCGCTATCACAGTGAAATCTAGAATCACTTTCGGAGCAATTTACTTGATGTACCAGTGGGCCATTCGCGAGAAACTCCCTGATCGGGACGAAGCCATATTCAGTCTTCTCGAGCGTGCCGATTTGAGCAAAAATTTGCAAGGCAAAAAGATTTCCATGCTTGTGGACTGGATCGAGTTTAAACTGAAAGTAAGAGATCAAAAGTGTTGTGATGTTTTTTCGCTAATTTATCTCAGCGATACTTCAATTAATGACATGCTTAGACAATTCGAAAAATCCGGCTCAAAATCTCGAGAAAATTCCATGTTGTGTTCCCGCGTGTCTCACGTTGAGATTGAAGGTTCGTCGTGCAAGTGGACTGTTTCTCCGGCTGCTGCCCCCACTCAAAGACTCCAAAAAACTGCACAGGCTCAACCTCGAGCTCTGCCAATAGTTACCTCTACCAGGCAAACCAGCCTCATGCCATCAGGGAAAAGCCCGCGCTCAGTTGTGCAAATGAAAACGCATGTTAGGGTGCCACCTTACACCGTCTTGCCGGGACCGCGTTCAAAGAGAGCGCGCGAAGATCCTCTATCTGGAGGTTCTCAGGTCCGAATGAAAGTCTTCAAGGCTGATAAGAATGCAAACGCACAACACGGCACAAATAATCTGAAGCTAGAGACCATTTCTGTCGGTGAGCCAGAAAAGAATGCAACTACAAATGGCCGCTCGCGTTTCAACCCCCGTGCCAGTTCCATGGCGGGCAACTCTTTTCAAATCTCTAACACGGAATTTGACAATGACAAGAAGCATAGTGATCCTCGCTTGCTCAATAGACCCATAAATGAGATACGATTACTAAACGCGGATAATTCATATGAATTTAAAACTCTTTTTGCCGAGTACGATTCCATGAGCCTTGATATTCAAAAACTGTTCCTGTTGTTGCCTGTAAATCATCATTCAAGAAGTCGAAGCTCCAACCCGACGCGATTCTTGTCCAACCGAGAAATTTTGTATCTTCACCATTTATGTGTGATCCAGCCGCCGTCCCCAAAACCGGAACTGATGTTCAAAGCATTAATCCAAATTGCTCATGCCCGAAGAAAAATTATCCTTGTGCCCGATTGCTTATATCTAGCGAAGCTCACTGAGAAGCTTCACCGGCAATTTCAAAAGAAGAAGGATGCCGGCGATGAATTCTTGGATGCTCCTTCTACACTCGATACCCTGTCAATTCCACTGGAAGGGCTTAAAAGAGATGGGGAAATAACGGTTCGCAACATCCTTGGCATCTTCTGTTTATGGAAGAATTGGACATCAATATATTGCCACCGCGGGCCAGCAAGGTTCAATTCCTCCGTGCCCAGACCTCCTTTAAAGAAAGTCTTCGTTAATCACAGATTCAACATGAATTTGCGCGAACACTTGCTACACGACTGCCTTAAACTACACGACAAGTTCTGCCATTACGCATTCGAGATGAACGATGTGAAAAAAGGACAGCTTTTCTTGGAACGTCCATGGGACAGCCAGGTTTTGGCCAACACCCTTGAGAGATCTTTCTTCGAAAGACTCTCGTGGCAGGAGTATTCTGTGCCTGTTTTAGTAGATCTTGAGTCACAGTCTAATGTGGAAAACAATGAAAAATCACTTCCTGTAGTAGATGATGCCGGAAAAGAAGATTTGACGACCAAAACCAACAAATGTGTTCCTAAGAAAGCGAGCTCTTGTATGACCGACAAACGCCCGTCAATGCTGAGGAGTTTTGCTTCTAACGAGCCTCGGTTAAACTCCACTAATTTTAGAAACGCATGGAAAATTTTTGACATTGCTGGAGCACAGCAAGAACGCATCACGCCATCGATGTCGTCCCTTAATCTAGATGCTCGGGTAATCAAGTATCTACAATTTATATTGCACGCCAAGTACCAAAAGATTTTAAAACAGTTACCCGAGAAAAATCAGAGTGCAAAGCGCACTTCAAGCGACGCTGGAAATGATTCTCTCAATAAAGACGCTAAACATCGCAGATTAGAAACGCAACAACCATGTGTTCCAGATGTTAACTCCGCCGAACCTGTAGCGAATAATAACGTCGCTCCCACCTTGAATAAGGCCAAGTCTCCGACCTCAGAAAACGTATCCAACGAACAGAACGCAGCAGCTTCAAGTATTTCAACAAAAACAACAAATCCTGCAGAAATTAGTGCAGGTCTGGAAAAAAATCCTAGTGGAAGCGCCCAGTCTACTAGCATCAGCAATCCTGTTAGTTCCGCGACCGAGAAAACTACAACGAACTCTCTTGAATTGAGTGATGAATTGCTATGCTTGTCCAACAAAACAACTCTTGCGAGACTTGAAAAAACAACGAATGAACAATTGAGCAATGCCACGAAGGATCTACCCGGTCCCCTCGTGTCCAAGGATTCCAATCCTGCAGCACATGCTAAAACGTCCAACGAACAATTGAGCAATGTCACGACTGAGTTACCTCGTAGTCCGAGTAATGTTGGCGAAGAACAGTTACATGACGGGACTCTACCCGTGAAATTCCGGGGCGCTGTACGTGCGTTGCTGAAGTCGCGCAAAGCGAAGAAATCGAACGTCGCTTTCATTCTTCTGAATTGTCTTGCACTTCTAGACACGGAAAACTCGGAAGTACCGACTGCTGAGGCTATTACAGAGTATGCTGATAGCATCACTGAATAACAATCTTATTTGAACTGAATGTGGACAGAGTTCTTTGAACTGAACGCACGGATGTCATGTATGTTTTTTTCTAATATTTTACTACCTACTGAACATCCGAAACCAGCGGGATAGGAAGGAAAATGTGTACAAATACGCAGTTGATTGTGGAAGCTGCTACCTCACAAGGAGAGGTGGTTGAAAATTTAGCTTAATAATAAAATTTAGCTTTGTAATAATGCTTATCAATGAATTTCAAACGTACAATGCACAGAATGAAATGTCTGTACTCCAAGTTATCTCTTAAAAATATTTTTTCTTCCAATTTGTTTTCATTTGTGAATTGGTGAGAAGTGCTTACGGTACTCTTCTAGATAATGGAACCTAAATGTCTATATCTGCATTGGTCTTGGTTTCGGATCTTTATTCTAATCGTGTCCAAAAATATTTTTGCATGTTATCGAATGAAGTACAAATATCGTTTTCCAGAGTAGAATAATGTTCTTTTGAAGTTAATCATATACCGTTACTAATTTGAGCATTACGAAAAGAACGGAAAATGTTTATTTTTCCGGTTGGTTTTGTGTTACAAAAAGGACGTCTTGCATTGTTTTAGTAACATAGGCTTGATTTAATATAAGTTTACTATTACATATATATACTGCAAATGGATCTAGTGCCTATAACGTATCCATTGTTAAAGGAGCATTGCTGTTATGGGGCGCCAGAATTCCTTGATTTCATGCATACCAATGTTCAAGTTAGATTAAGTTTTTTTCAGTTCGTTCTCAATGAAATGAAAGACAACTGTAATTATATTTCTTTAATCCTTACTTAGTTTGAATAAGTTATGGCTTATCTTACGAGTTTGAAATTAACATAATGGTCATTGTTCGTAAATTCTATACATATTTTAGGCCTTAAAATTCTTTACTAACTATACAATTCTGCATTCAATTCACACGCCACCAATTGCAAGAGAGGTAGTTTCAACATTCAAGGAAATATGGGCAATTCTTGGCTCACGAAAACGAATCCGAATACAGCAATGAACCTATCTGTGCCGCTTCTATCTTTCATTGTCAGTTAGATGAATGCTCGTTGGTACCGAAGATTTTTTCACCAATTAATAATTGTAATACGATTGACGGAGTGCAAGATCTCTCAAGAGATGCTATAATTATGTATGGCACAAATGAATATAATGCCGGTTTACTAGCTAATCATATACACGACAGTTACCGAGCATCTTGACAATGATCCAGTAATAAGCTTACACCTGGACATCCATTATTAGGTGCAATGCTCTATGCAAAAATATTGAACCTTGACGCAACCTAAAAAAAACTGATCGAAAATGGTGGCGTGTTAAAAATATAGTAGAGCTCGTTCTAAAAACTAGGTGCACGTCAGGTACAAAAACATAAATACGCTAATTGTTCTGAGACTTCAAATGCCTCGCAAGATGATTGCAAGTCTCATTATTAAAAATACTTGTGTACACCTCAACATAGTTTGAGTGCTGTCAAGCTACTTAATCGTGAACATATGCTGTTATTAATAGTGTACTCATTAAAGCTGACGTCAAACAGGAGAGGATCATGACCAACTTGCTGGCCAGAGGAATGCTGGACATTCTCAAGTTTAGGGATCGGTTTGAACTGCTCGGTATTTAGGATCCAAATAAAGCGATGTATTGAACTCGCTATGAAGGTAGTATAACGCAAAAATTGATCCCTTTCACAGAGCATTTGGATTCGAGCAAAAATTGCATGTAGAGTAACACGGATCGCCTGACTACGGAGTTGAATCAAGTGTCATTTGCATTAAAAGCTTTAGTTTATAAGCCTGATAAAACCGATAAAAAGAATCTTTCGAGGGAATACATGATAAGATAACTATGAGAACATAAAAACCTAAAATGAAATGATAAGTGCCACGTTGAAGAACACTTACAATACTGAATGCAAGGCACACAATGCACACTCAACTACACCGAACAAAGAACTAATGCCACGGATACACAACAACGATGGTGACGGCGTCCTTATATAACTATGACTTGTGGGACTGAAGAATCTTCTTTCTCTGATCTACCGCTGAGCTGACAACTGGTCATGAACTGTCACATCGGCTGTCAGTGAATTAGGACTTGATTCGTCGCTGTCGTGTGGTTCCAAGCCCTCGTTTTCGTCCTCCGTTTTTCCCAACTCATACGTGACGGCCTCCCGGGGACCACCTCGAGCAGAAACCACACCCGCGGGGCCGTGTGGTGGCGTCATATTTCCTCCTCCTCTCGCGGAGACCACATCGCCTACCATGATGGGGGAAGAGCCGTTGATTTGAGCAGACGTCGGGGTGCATTTCGTGGGCGTGCGAGAAGAGTCTTGATCCGCAGGCGCGTCCACGCAGCTCTCGTGGATGACGTGCATATTGCTGCCGTTTCCATTGGACTTAATCGCCACTGATGGCTGGTGCGTCGACGACCCTCTGTAACATAAAAAAAACGTTCACGAAAATCATGAATATAATTGTAGTTCAGATAACGAGGTAAAAAAGGATCTAAGGAAACATGAATGACTTTCGACAACGCTATCAAAACTATTTCAATTTCAATCGTTCGTGAATATCTTGTTAAAAATACAATAATTTAAAGTAATCCCACGTGAAACTAAGTTGGCTTTAAGTTGAACAACAAACAAACAAGACATAGACCCATCCCTCGCCCACGCTGAGAACCAGAGACAGTTTTCCTGCAGTTGCTCACCGGATGGAGTCGAGGGAGATTTGCGTGGTGCGCTGAGACATCTGCGAGGTCGTCGCGTAGGAGGAGGTTGAACGCACAATGCGCTTTACGCGTGAAATTCCGGGATCGCACTTTCCCCGCAACTGAAATAATAACAAAACTAATTATTTACTGCCGTCAATGTGCTAGATGAATATATATTTAGGCCGTATTGGTGCTGCGGTATTACATTAATCACTTAAATAAAAGGAGTTGTTCAGTTGCTTAAATAGTTCACTTACAGAATGTTTATCTAGGGAAATAAATTAACCATTTATGACATAGATAACGCATATGAGAACGATAGTTACCAAAGATGTAATCTCAACTATAACTTGATATGCGGGGCAATTAGTATGAACTGAAGTAGAAACTAAAGTATTACTCTAGAAAAGGAAATGTGGGACAGAACGTATCATGTTGAATCATCAAATAGACGTTTTCGCTCGAAAAATTTGTTTCATCTCGTGAAAAAAATTTCTTACATCTGGACAAAAACAAGGAATAACGACTGTCATCATGCAACCAACACAGAATAATTCACTTTACTACCACAACTTACACAATACTAAAAAACCTAATTACTACCCAATAGTATACACGGATCGCGAAGCAAAAGCCAAGATAGTGAAAAACGATCGAGCGTTCTGAGGACGCGTGGAAATTAAAATCTCAAAGCATACATTACAACCCAAAATATAAGCGAGAGTTGTTGTTCATATCCATCTGCAGAAATTATATGAGTTCTGATTATTCTCAGCTTCGACTGAGAACAATCAGAACCCAGCAGAAATAAGCCGAAAATTCAGCACATCAAAACAAAAATAATAAAAAATCAATAGGATTCATAAGCGGAAGCAAAAAACAATTCTATATTTATACAATAAGTAATGTGCAAGAAGCAATAATATTCATAAATATTATTATATTGCAAGATCATAATTATCATATGCAAACACGATTAGCATTTTTAATCAATTATACGACCAGGATTGTGATAAAAATTTAATTCATTTTTTTATTAGAATCAAATACTCGATCACTGTAATCTTGTCATTAGCCGCCGTTTCGCTAGGCAACGAAGTCTATTTTTCGGTCCACAACTTTTATTACTCAACAAAAATGCTTCAATTAAAGCATTTATTCCGTTGCATATTCTAATAACCCGCAATACTTCATTGCAATCTTTTGAACATTTCCGGATAAGCAAAGGAATGAACTTATTTTTGCGCCCTTCAGCAGCATTTAAAAGAGGTCCTACTTTTTTCAAGGTGAGGATTGATCTTTAACTCAAGACCTTGAGTGTTACCAAAGCTCATGCAATAAGACAAGCGTTTGATTAATAAATGAAATCACAACTTTTATCTTCATGAAATAAATACGGAAGCCAAAGCGAAGCGTGCAAAATTACAATGCCTGGAACCTGCCGTTTTGTGATCGTAGCTCTTTTTGGAACGTTTTAGCTTCCACCAGGCTTTCAGCTGAAATACAAATATTCACAACTTGAGACTCAAATTCAAGATCAAAAAATATAACTCAGAACTCACTGCAGTGAGTGACAGAGAGCGCATTTTCTCGTCGACGAAAACGTGAAGTCACGGACGGACAGACAGACAGACAGACGGACGGACGGACAGACGGACATGGCGAGCACAATAGTGCATTTTTTCCATATATGAGAAAATGCGCTAAAAAGAGGTTATAGATTTGTGGAACTGACACCTGTGCTGAAACTGACACGTTTCTGACTCGTGAAGAAATTGACACGTTTCAGAATCTCGTGACGATTGAGGGAGAAGATAATGACGAACAAATTCGAATTTTATCTCAAACATGCTGATTAGTGTCAAGTTTCAAGCGCATTTTCGGGAGCCTTTGTACCAAAATTTTACGAAACCCACGGAAATTAGACTAGAAAAAACTACACATTTTAGAAGGAGAATCATTCAACAGTAATGAAGTGCACATGTACGCAAGCTAACATTTTCATAGGCGCAGCAAAACAATGTACGAAATGTACTTAAATGTACCTACTTAATATACCAAGTAATAAATAAAGATCATTTCACAAATAATCAATTTAATTTATTTAAATTAATTAAATTTAATAAAGTTCATTTAATGAAGTTCATTTAATAAAGTTCATTTTCACAAATTGCAGTCATAGAAAGTTTTTTCTGATTATGCATTTCCTTCATTAGATATTCATAGAACATTTATGGAAACATATGCGCACCGAACTACAGCATTGAATTCAAGTCCAAAGCATTAGCTTACTGCCTCGTTCGTGAACGAAACTGTTAAACTACTGCAAATTTTGTACCAAGTTAATTATTGATGCTTTTATCACAACAATACATGCGCAGGCCTAATCCACAGAATGAATTTTGTTTACCATTTTTAACTCAAATTAAAAGAACAATTCTAATTTCGCCGCCTCCACAACAAAAATAAAAAACAAAGAAACTCTCAATGGTCTCGAATGAGGTTTATGGTTAACAAGAACAAATAAGATAAAAATCAAGATAATTAGGAACAAAAGTAAATCGGGTCCAACCTTCTGGAATACAGTGCGCTTGCAGACGAAGATGACGAATATGAAGACGCCTTGTAGCGAGTTGATGATGTCCGTAAACATCCTGAAATTTAAAAAATCGATTATATTTTTGTTTAGTTTTCCATTGATAAAACTTACACAATCAGAAAAGACCCAAAGAGAGCAATGCAAATTTTATCGAGCGGCTCAGCTTCTGTTTTTGCTTAAAAATAGGAAAAGGCTTCCCCGAAAATATTTGTTTCAAATTGATAGGAAACGAAAGATATCATACAACTCTTTAGAAATAATTATAGATTCTCATTATAGGAATTATATATTCTTATAATAACCATGAGATCCGTAACCTCTCTTTGATATAACACGCAGAAATAATAATTATAATTTTTATAACAACAAATTTGAAGACCTCAATGCCAAATTTGTCAATCGTGAAGAACAACTCCTGAAGCACGTAACTGGCTCTTGCCAATTAAGATCATGCATTCGGGCGCGGAATAGAAAGTTTTCTGAAGCGCTAGTAAACCTTCTACTACTACTTCTACTAATAGTACTACTACTACCACTACTTCAATAACAATAATTATCTCGTACGGCTCACCAGACTTCGCAAGTCCCCTCCTGGAAGGAGATCACTTCACAGATCCACGTGACGCCCATCACAACGAAGAGCTTCACGTACAACTTCATCCTGAAACATATCATCGTCCTTTATAACTCTGCCGCCTCAATAACGGGACTAGTTCATGCAGCGTCTCTAATCCGAGGACTCAGGGTCTATACTAACAAAACTCGCTAAATGAACGTAAGTACTTACGCTCTATTTTCTTGTCTATGATTGGTGGATTTTGCTTGAAAGGTCGTCAATGAGTGGCTGATGAACTTACGATCTCTTAACTTTTTCTTTGAAAGTATAGGCCTGGCAGCTCGGTAAATGACTACGGTAAGAAAATGGCTACCAATGAGAGCAAGTATTATTTAAATTTTTAAATTTCTGAATGTTAGTTAAATCATTGTGAAACTCAATATGATCCAACATCCAGTATATGTTAAGAAAATAATTCGATAATTGAACAATAATTGTAAAAGATTGACATGCACTTTGAAATTAAATAGTGTTAATTTTTCCATCGCCCTCACGCAACCTTATTTGAAAAAAGTCTAACAATAAAACTTCCGACAAAAATATGAAAGTGATTCGATAATTGAACAATAATTGCAAGAGAGATTTACATGCATTTTCTAATTAATTATCGTGTAATTTTTTCATCGCCTACACGCAACGATATTTGAAAAAAGTCTAACTACAAAACTTCGAACAAAGTTATGAAAGTGAAACACCAACGAACCGGTCTTTGTCATGGCGGTTGGTGTTCTTGAGGATGGTTTTGTTGACGCGCTGGGCTTTGATGAGGATAATCGCGACTTGCAGGAAGAAAATGATGTTGATGACAGTGAGCAGCAGCACGAACATGTAGAAGTAGAGCCACAGCGCTGCTTGTTCTGCGTGTAAAAACTAACATCAGAGGCACGCAGCACGAACATGTAGAAGTAGAGCCACAGCGCTGCTTGTTCTGCGTGTAAAAACTAACATCAGAAGCACGCAGCACGAAAATGTAGAAGTAGAGCCACAGCGCTGCTTGTTCTGTGTGCAAAAATTAAAAAAAAGTAGAGCGGTTTCCCTTTCCGTATACCAAGAAAATTCAAAAGGAAAAAAACCTACATCCATTGAAGTTCATTTCGGCAAAAAACATACAGAATGCAAATTCAATTTTGACATTGCTGTGAAACATGCACAAATTACAAGCAATTTCATAAGCACTTAATTCGGCGATTTACTCTTCCACAGATGAGCCTGGCAAATTAAATTCCATTACGTAACTGAAGATTAAAACCCACATTCAAACTTCAAAAAATAAAATTCAGAAGAAGTAAAATAATAAAAATTCAATGACAAATATACAACATTGCTTAGTGCCAGCTCGTAAGTGAAATAGACATAAATAGCGAGCGCATGTGAGTGCATGCCAAATGCATACGGGTGGGCGACTAATAGAAATTGTGTGACGGTCCAATCGAACAACGCGCAATTGTTTTTAGACGCATATGCATTTTGATTGCTCCTAAAGAGAGGCGTGATTGCTCTTATAAAGAGCAGTGAACAACAGACCTGATTGCGCCTAAAGAGAGCCGCGGACAAGAAACCTGATTGCGTCTCTAGAGACGTGATTGCGCCTAAAGAGAGCCGTTGACAAGAAACCTGATTGCGTCTCTAGAGACGTGATTGCGCCTAAAGAGAGCCGTGAAAAACAGGCGTGATTACGCCTAAAGATACAAGAGGCGTGAACAAGAAGTGTGATTGCACCTAAAGAGAGGCGTGATTGCGCCTAAAGATACAAGAGGCGTAGACAAGAAGCGTGATTGCACCTAAAAAGAGGCGTGATTATTAATTGCACCTAAAGAGAGGCGTGATTACGCCTAAAGATACAAGAGCCGTGGACAAGAGGCGTGATTGCGCCTAAAGATTCAAGAGGCGTGGACAAGAAGTGTGATTGCACCCAAGGAGAGGCGTGATTGCACGGCCCCTGCGTCACAATCGCCGTGTTTTGGCGAAGTGGCCATGCGGACGATGGCGAAATCTCACCGCTGTTGCAACCCTTCAATACTTGGCTGCAACACAAAGCAACAAACGCCTGCATTTACGACTACATTCCAGCAATTTCTACGAAAAGACTCCAGTGAAAATATCAGGCAAAGAATTCACCAGTTTTGTAAGAGTTTACAAAGTTAGTGGAGCTACCCAGTACCTTCTCTAGTTAAATACACTTGCCCACAGTTGCATCAAGTACCAAGAGTATAACTTTTGGATTTATTTTTCAGACACGCTACCATCGAAATACAACACTAAAGTATTGCGTCAGCAATACTTTAGTATTGCTGACGAGTGCCTCCACAGCAATTCAACCGAGTTTCGTGCCTCCACAGCAGATTGATAAACTTTTTGAATTATGATGCAACTATTCATCCATACGAGAACATTCATCATTATTCATACGGGTGCATGCATCATGCATACGGGAGGACGGTATCACGTGGACCATATCGCGTGTGGCTGCGAGGCGGCGGCCTTGAGCAGTTCAAGTTATCATTAAGTGCAGGGACGGCCATTTCCTGCTGACTCAGCTCATTCAGTAATTCTTGAGTCAACTTCAAGCGTCAACAATATGCAGCAGATGGAATACGCATTAAAAGTTTCGATTCTCTAAATATTTCAAGTCTATTCTTGAGTCATCTGCAAGTGTTAATGAATGGAATATGCAGGTAAGATGGAATATGCGCCTACAAATTAACATTTGTTAAATATTCGAAAGCTGTGTCCTCAAATTTTAAATCTTATCAAAGCATAATGTAGCCCCCGAAAATAAGCCCATCACTAAACAATTCGATCAAGACAACTAGTTTAATTTAATTTGAACGTTTCGGAGTATTATGATAATTAACGCTTTTAAAAATCATTTACATTAAGGTTACTAGAAACTAGAAAACGGTATTTAATAGATACTACAAGAAGAATAAGGCGGTAATATTCGGTTAAATAAACTTTTGCCCAATTTTCAAGCACAAAAACATAAATAACCTCAAGAAAGTAGAGTTTTTTTCCATTTGACAATCTGCGCGCAAGAATCAGGGTTCGTCGTTGCATGGTAACAGCGTAGGAGCACGGAAAATTTTCCTTAAAAACTTCTCAGGACATAAATAAAGCTTTTCCCACGAAGAGCAGGATAAGACAAATCTCGATCATTACGTACAGGACGTCGTAGTTAACGTTCATGTTTGTCAGCCTGAGACGCCAGGATAACGAAAAAGGGATGTGGATATAAATAAATGACGAACTGGTAGTTGCGGCGTTCAAAGCCCTTCAGCGGTTCCACTACATAACTTGGCTATGAAACCTCAAGATTTTTCCTCCTCTCTAAGTGCAGAACACTAGATTTATCTTCAATGACTGAATTATATTTAATCAAAACATTTCAATTCAATGTTAAGCTTTCATAAAAACTACTTTAATTCGCCATTTATAACAATTCGTACAGTCAATTAAGAAAATTATTTAACAACATATTCCATAAGAACCTACTTCATGGACGGAGAGGAAGTCCACGCCGAGACAGAAGTTCATACAATGAACAATGCTCACTTAAAGCCGCTATAAACATTCAACACGCCATCACAAACTTGTTGCTTACATGCTCACTTCCTGTGATAAACATACTACTCAGTGCAGGTTTCTCACAAGCATCAAACCAAATCCATTCGAGGTACAGATTTTGACAGAAATGTAGTTATAAGAGAAATATCTCATGTGTATGTCTTCGAACCTGAAGATATACGCGTTAAAAAAACATTTCACTCGCTTATTCATTCAGTGATAAGTGTCACAAATTTTTGTTTGTATTGCCACCAAGTAATTCAGAGATCGCACAGCAATAAATGAACCCGCGAGCGTACGTAATTCTAATTCCGCGCGAATAGGACCATCGATGATGTCTTGCATGAGGAATGGACGGCAATGCTTCATTAGCATGCAATATGTAGCACAGAAAGTTAAACTCCGTTGCTAATGAATGCATTCAAAAAAGAATTGGGATTCTGGAGGTGATTTACTACAGGACGTATTAAATGAAATGAGCCGGAAGACCTGAATAAATAATACAAATTCTATCGAGAATTCACAAGTCTAACACGAAAGCTATCAACGATGGATTATATTAATAAAAATTTAAATAAACACATTATCTATGCATGTATATACTATAAATATTAATATTACTAATAGTCAGCTGTTAGAGCTTGAGCAACATTCATGGACACATCGTCCTAGCAATATCTAATTAATTTATTACATTGACATTTAAGTGTCTGATTAAAATGAACATCAATTGAACAGATGAGACAAAACATTATTAAAATTTTTTTATTCTGCATGTACTTTTAGATCCAGCACCATTTTGAGTCAAAATTTTGCCAATATACCGAAGGGCCAATTACTGAAATGAATAAATAAATACACAAATAAATTTAAAAAAACAATGGCTACACTACCTTGAAACATACACTCATTTACCAACTTATTTTGAATAACTATATCAAATGAAAATGGAACATTAGTGTATGAAGTATCCAGTAAAGCAACATTTCCAAAACAAACTTGTATCGAATCACGGGAGCAAGAAAATAGGAAGGTGAAAAAATGAACTGACCAGCAAACCAGCACTTTTTGACCCCGAAGCCTGGCAAGATGAGGTCTTTGTGCAGATTGGGGTCGATCTGCTGCATGCCGATGGTGACGACCCCGACGATGAGCGGACAGCCCCACGCGTACGCGCTGTACCATTTGAATCTGCTGCGGGACCCTTCCCCGCTCTCGGGGATCGGACGCAGCGACCTGCAAAACATCGTATCTTCTCAACACATACGTTAAACATAAAAACTTTTGAAGTTTATTTTAAAGTCAACAACAGAATCATTTGTAGTTGCATTCTAAATCAACAACAGTGCAACTAATGAAATCTCAGTCAAGACAAATATGGTACACTTAGCAGATTGCGAGTCCGCCGATCAACGTAGTCAGCGTTCATCAGTTATTTGATTTATCCGGTCTTACGGATTGGATGGGAAAACATTTTGGTGGATTTCAGTAAACCGTTATTTACTAACGAAGCATATTCACACCATACCAGTGAATCGGTGATAATAAATTAGTAATCCATACATAAAGGCAGACTTTCCCTCGAGCAACCCAAATAACAATAATAGTAATTAAGTAATTACCACTATAAAAGGAGCTAGTAAAATTAGGCATTTATTGAGAAGGGTCTATTGCTCGATCCCTCATAAAAACGATGCGATATTCATTACTCATTGCATTACTGCTCTACAAGAATGTCTGCGCTAGCGTAACTCGATCAAGCCAACAGACGACACAATTCCAAGAAAACTGATATAGCTCAATCTGGCCGGTAAATATTTAAAAATCTATGTAGTAGACATGAAGATTGTTTACTGTCTAGTTCAATAATTTTGGAGGCAGCAGCGTATCGTATCGAGTTCGATAGCCTATCAGGAAGTTGCGTAAATATTGGTTCAGTTGCGCTGACAGCCAATCCCGTGGCTGCAGCTCCAACACGCAGACGTAGTATGCGAGTCCCGCCCCCTCATTACATACAAATAAGCTCAGTACAAACAACCGGGACAAAAAGATCACGATAAAAAACTATAAAGAACGTTGGCTGCAAACAGCGCTTCATAAGCTCGGTGTCCCAGGTCGCCAGACCGGAGAAAGTATCGTCATAAAAAGCTGACGTAAAAAAGCACTTGCGTGCTTCAAAACGCTCACTTAATGACGGTCCTCACGTGGTGTAAATGGCACGATAATCACTGATGGATATGCTGGTTCCTGCCGAGCGGCTTTCCCGCAGGAATAACACAGTGACACTGAGAGATCGGGATGAACTTCACGTATCGAGGAAAGCGCCAGGTGTGAAGAACATTGAGAACGACATTGGATGCATTCACAAGGTTGGTAGTGTCTCAAATAAGCACGGGAATGTAGGCATTATCTTATTCATTGAATTATGAATTCGTTAGGGGAACTTACTTTATTACTGGGAAAAAATAATCAAAATTAATGGCATTTTTCAATTAACAAACAGCGATCACTCCGAGTAAAAAACGAGCCTTAATTGAAAAATGTCTAAAAGTTTTTGTGAATAGAACGTTAGCTGCAGCATTTTTATAATACTCTTGCAACACTTCTCTTGTGGACCTAAACACGATAAGATTAAGATAGTATCTCCGCCTTTTAGAGGAATTTTGACTTAATCAATTAATCCTTACACGCTCTCATCTGTTACGAGAGTTTTTCAATTGGGAATTCGACATTATAACGGGAAGCGACATACCAGTCAAGCAAACTTACAGATAAATTATTGTCTAAATAAATAATAAATCATGTCTAAATTAATAAATTTCAACAAATATTGTGGTAGAGCAACAAGAGACATACTATATACTATTCATAATTGAGTACGATAATTGATTTCCTCCAAATTCTCAGCCGAGGCGATGTCGCATGCACACCGTACAATCCTCAAGGCCACATGAACGCAGTTTACATCGAGGCTCAGATGAGGCTTTTTGTGCTCTCGTTAGAGGAAGCTTGTCGCCTCCTGAACAGAATAAACTTCTACAAAAAACTATTACTTAATTGTGCTCCTCAGCCTCAGGTATTGCGAAATTCATGCAAATAAAATAAAATATCAACAGAAATAGGAAAACAACGCGAATAAACTTACCGATTTCTGTTCCATTATGCGAATGGACTCTTATAGTACGTTCGAGTTTGGTTTAGATTAACAAACAATATCTATAATTTTCTGAGAAGATATGACAAGGAATGTAAACATAACTCAAAATCATTATATCTGATCATGATCAAGTGCAGCGCGAACATTCTCAGCTAAAAAGTCTTATCAATTGCATATTATTATCATTTCAGGAAGATATTATCGTGATGTCTGGTACAGCAGGTCTACGAAGGCAAGTTTATCATTGTGAGAACCAATAAAAAATTTGCACAAACGTAACAAAGCAAGCGTGACAAAGAGAGGCGGTGTAATAATATTCAAAGGATACATGTTACAAATGGCCTACGAACACAGTCGCTGTTACATTTCAAGGGCGTGAGAAAACAGCCAGGATCGTGCGTGACGGCAGCAACACAAAGAGAGGTGAGTGTGTAAATGTCCCGTTCACTAGGCACTTGTCGGACGATACATTGCATGCAAGCTCGACGTCGCAGCGGCTTTAATAGGTAGAATTTCATTGTAGATTAGCTCTCATTATTCAATCAGATGACTCGTCACGCTCGACGCTGCAACTAGTGGAACTGATGACCAGTGCATCGAGTGAGATAAAAAGTTCCCGTTTCTGAAAGTGGTTGTAGGAAAAACGAAAACTAATGTACGAGAAAAATAAACTTCATGGGTTTTAAGGGAAAACACATAAAATCAAGAATCGCATGTACAAGAATTATGCATGGTGAAATAAAATAGTACATCTTCATCATAAGTTTCAACAATTTTTGCTCATGGTATTCAATAGCAATGCTTCTATGTACACAAAGAAATCAGTGTGTCGTATTCTAAATAAATTAACTGATACCGAAGTTCATGCAAATTTGAAACTCAATGAATCAATAATAATAATATTAATAACAATAATGATGATGATATAGATAATAATAATAACAGGCACAATATTAAATATTACAGATGTATCCGGAGGAAAATGTTCCATCGCGACTCCGCCGAACGTCGCAGTCATGGCAGGGCAAGCGCCCTCCGCCCCCGAATGCGGAACAGCCGACAAGCTTCCGTGGCCTTTGCCTCGCGCGACCAAGCGAGAAACGTGGCATTTTCATTTGCGAAACACAGGCTCTCATCAAAAGAAATGATAGTTCTTTGCATAACCTATGCTGTCTTCCGTCATTATTTGAAATCAACAAAATAAACAAATTCAATTATTGGCGAGGTGTAAGAATCATCTTTGTTTAGTTCCTTTGCCGAATAAATGCAGTCTATCGTTACAATTGCATGTGAAGAAAATCAGCCAATGCACGTATCAATAAGTTGCATTAGTCATATTGACAAATATATTGAGTGCTTGCACTGTACACTAACAGTGTTCTCAGTCCTTCGTGTCACAACTGAAACGCAAGATTCACCAATACAGAGTTGAGTACAAATTCTATATAAAATTTGATGCTAATACATGACTGCATTTTTCATTGATTAGTAAAAGAAATTTTATTATTTCCATATTCCGCCATTTTGACGCAATTTTTTATTCAACCAAATGTAAATAAAGGATTTAAATAGAAACTCAAAAGTGGATTTTCAAACAAAATTTCCATCAATCATACTCATAGCGAATTAGACGTAGAAAACTGTCCTAGTTATGCGAGCTAAGCAAGTTTTTACGCCAGACTTGACTGCGTGTATGTAACGGCGGTGACGAACGTCAGCTCCGGAGATCAAGCAGCGCACGACGCTTCCGCGTAGCTAACAACGGCCTTGGGTCTCCGTAAATGAGCTAAGAAACGTACGACTGGCAGCGCTCTTAAAAGTTCACATTTCTCAAGTACTTGGAGTTCTTTTTTAATTTGAATGATTTTTTTTTTCGAGTTCCATGATAACTATCTTGCCGAAAAAAGGGAGAAACGCCAAGTTAGATAAGCAAAGTAAGTAAATTAAAATTAAAGCAAAGTAAGTAACGAAAGCAGGCGTGGCAAAATATTACAAATTACGCAACATTCGTGAACGAAACCATTAGATATCAGAGAATGAGTCAACATGTTGTACCGATAAGGCCTCTTATCAAAACGAGCCTGCTTATCATTTTTCCGACAAGAGAAGTTCATTTTTCGGGGCAAGTCAACGATCATATAAAATAATGTTAGACGAGCGCATCATATGTCATAAGTCATCCTTAATACCACTTTTACAGGACAGGAAAAGCAAATAGTAATACATTACTGACTAAAGAGCATGGATGTGTCAATATGTATATATCGATTGATAAAGGTATGTTAGTCACTTTATGACATGCTTGCAGATAAGCCAGGCGTTTCCTACGCTAGATGGTGTGATATCTTTCAGATTTAAGAATAATTTCATCTAGAACACTGTTATTCCATAACCCGTCAACATAGATCCCGTTAACCTGAGTCCAGTAAATAATTTTGAATCACTAGTACAGTTATGGAAGAGAGACCCGTTCAAGCCCATATTTTCCACGGAACCACAAAAAACTACCCTTTCGAAGGAATCTTGACCTTTCAATTTGGGATTTATATATATACATTAATCAAAATAGAATTGCATTTAAATATTATAGTATATCTTCCCCACCCACCCCCTTCCCCCCGCCTTTTTCTCCTTAATCCACCTCCAGAAATAAAATTGTACTCCCAGTTAATATTTCGACACGATAAATATTTTTGGAAACACGCTCGAGCAGCTACAATTCATTTCCAGCGCCAGGCTTCCAGAACACATGCAAGCAAAATTTCATAAATTTATGAAATCAACTTTGATTTTATACCGATGAACTTGGAGACTTAACATAAAACAAAAACGAAAATTTTACGTGTCGCAGTTGTACTCACGAATTGGATGCAATTGTTGATACGCAATTGGGAAAATCACTATCTACAATCTACATCAATCCTGTGGAGTTCGTTTTGAAATATGCTGGCAAAAAATATATTCCGTTTTATGTATTCGGGAAGCTGGATAACCACTATTTTATATAACAGGTGCATGGTGGTTCCCAACTTTGACCAAACGTGTTCTAACAAAATAACAAGTAGATTTTCTAAACATT